AGGAAGTTGATCGCGCAAAGTACCTGGGCGTTTTCTTCTCCAGAAGCGGCACGACGAGGAAGGATGTCACAGACCGACTCCGCAAAGCCGGGGGGACTTCAACGCGCTGCATCACTTCTGGCATTCCATTGCATTGGAAATTACGCATTCATAATGCAATATTTGTCCGGATGATTCTGTCCGGCATGGAATCAGCACGTAAAATTCACAAGATACGCGCAACGTTTTACACAAAAGTGTTTGCCCCAGACCAACCCACCACCTCCAATCAGCAATGGCGCGAGCAATCATCAGAGCCACCACTCGCGCATCGCATCCACACGGCGCAACTCAAGTTGTTTGGTCATGTTTTGAGAGCAGCGGAGAATTGTTTGGAAAGGAGCAGTTGTTTCAAATGTTTCACGAAATCTTTGCTCTACAGGGGCGACGTGTTCTAGTCAGGGATTAGGAGAGGGCGTCCCAGAATACATTGGGCCGAGCATTGCGCCACGGCATTGGCTGCATGATTTCCCTAACCTTCCAGCACAGAGATACCCGCAGTCCTCCCTTGCATTTGCTCAACTTCACAAATTGGCTGTCCGCCGTCAAGTCTGGAGTCGGCTAGTGGAGGGGTGGGGCTGCCTACGTGCAGCAAATGCCTCAAACAGACCTTTTTTTTACTGCGTTTTGCCAGTGAGCTCACAGCAAGTTCACAGCAAGACCACAATAAAGCTTGGAGTCTGAATGCATATGGCTGCACAAAATGTTATCAATACCCCCCTCCACTTTGGGATTTGACGTGTGTGAATGACACCGCCCTACTTTCGATTTCTTCCATACAGCGTACATGCTTCCTGCACACCCTTCAGCGAGAAGCCTCCGTCAGGGGCTTGTTCTTTAATTTTGATGAATGTGCTCACCTCCGGCACGACTCTGAGGAGCCTATTTTCTTTTTCCCGCACCGTGATTCTCCCTGGGATTGCGCTTGTTGTATGGGTAATTCGCCTTTGGATAATGCAGTTTCGATATTTGACGCGGTCAAATATTTCGGATTTTTTTTGGATTCGTGTTCCAACAACATCCAAAAGCTTTCCTATAGGGCCGCCGAAGCTATGTCTGCATCCAAGCTCCTTCGTCTTTTGTTGGGGCACAATGCACGTCCTTTTTCATGGTATTAGCGGTCCACAGACCGATCATGTGGTCCCTTGTACTTTTCATGCGATCGAGAGTGCTCAACTCCCGTTCGCAAATTACTAAACTCAATCAAGATCACTTTAAATCCATAACCAGGCATCTTTAATCACGTCCTCTTATTATCATCGAGTTTTCAACCCTTCAGCAGACGATTTGTCCAATCATCATTTTTTTGCTGGATTTTCTCATGAACTTAGGAAGGCCATCACCCCCTTTCGAAATTTATTCGCAAAACTGTTTGATTCTTTTAAGGCATACATATATGCACATATATCTTTATATGCCCACAGTTTCTTGAGCATCATTCTACATGTACGCCTTCGTGTCAACATAGGTACAGTCGAAGTCCGAATAAGGCAGGTCGACCAAGACCCCATTGGCAAGAATCAACGATAGCAGGTGTATTGTCCACATCGACGCAGATGCCCCTCCAAGTCGTCCTGATATCACACATTCATTTTTCTGTATCCCCACTTCCTCCCTTGTGAGGATTACTCATGCTTCAAATTGTCCCGTTTGGATGGACAATACATCACCGGGCCAAAAGTCTTGAGCTACCGGGCCTTCTAGCGCGTGTA